AGGGCGTGCTGGCCGCATTGATTTACGTAGAAGAGGACAGGAGGACGTCGAGGGGAGGGGGTGGTGTGGTGGGACAAGCCGCGAGGAAGAGGGGGAGAGTCGCAGAATCCCACGTAATCGGAATACAGTCGATTCCTCTCCTTCCTTCCTTCCTTCCTTCCTTCCTTCCATCCACCGCCTCCTCCACGTCAGATCCATCCGGTTCCTCCACCCCTCGGGCCGCCGGGGAGGGAGGCCACCATCACCACCACCCCTTCCTCCGGCGCCGCGTGGATACGCGGTGGTCGAACCACCGCGAGGATACCGTATAATTATCGGATGCCAGGTAACTCGAACGCTCTCGGCCGGTTTTAATTGGCCAATTATCGTGGCGCGGATAGAAGTGGATGCCGCGTCGGTCCAGATAGGCGTGAAACTTTTGGGGTGGCCGCCGAGGTACACAACGGCGAGCGGCAACACAACGCGCGACTTTCCTCTCTCTGGCCGGCTATCTTTTGCCACTAGCTGTAGGGGGGCTGCCTACTATCTCGTGGAAGATCCCTGTGCGTGTATACACACACAGTGCGTGCACGTCGCACTGTCGGATAGTGTTGGACACATATGTGCGTGTGTCGGGATCGGAATCGAGAGCGGGAACGGGCGCAAATTGGTCACGGCTGGTCTGTTCGATCTTCGTTCCAAACTACCTCCCCTCCCCGCTTCCACCTTCGCCTCCTTTCCCGCCCCTCGCCCCCCGTCTCGCGTCTTTCTCCGCCCGATCGCCTCCCCGCATCGCCCCGTCCTTGTCCAGTTGGCTCGGCCGCCGCCGTATCGATCTATCCTGCTCTAGCAGCAGCGCAACCCCTACATCCTACCGCCCTACATCCTATCCAGCCGCCTAGCTCGCCTCCTCGACTCCGCTTGCACTCCGTTTCAGAACTATTAGGGACGCTCGCCTAAACCCACATCGCTTCGCCAGGTATAGGATAATCCGAGCTCACCTGCGACCCCTTCGAACCGATCTTCCACAACAGGTTAACAACCTGTTTCCTCCTTTCTTCGTTCCGTCCGATCGAACCCTATGATGATGAAAGAGTTTTCCGCTCGTTAATTCGCCGTTTACTCTTTCGCTCTCGCCGTTTTCGCGATTCGCGTCTTCGAGTGGCCGAGAGTTAGTTGTTGGTGAACCGACGAGCGACGACAGAAGCAGCAACGACGACAACAACAACAACAACAACAACAATCCGGGCACGTGCGGAACGTGGCGGCGCATTGTCGGTGTAAATTTTTAATTAAGCTTCGGTGGCCGGCCTGCAAATTGAGCCGCGCCCGGCGCGCCGGCATTCAATGCAGTAAATGCACCGTGCAAGCCGTACGTGTCATTTACGAATTAAATTAATTTGTTAGTTCTTATGCGGTGGCCGGGTGCCGGGCTATATAACCCCCGAAATAAATTTACGATAATGCTCATTAGCCGGGGCGGCGAGCGGACGAAAATTAGTAGCTGGCCAACTACCAGCTGCCTCTCTCTCTCTCTCT